TGTTGCACCTTCAGCCAGAGTGGGAGCTGGCACATGTTATTTTATAGAATTAATGAACTAGCCCTTCAGGGCTAGCCTTTTTCCCCTCTCAGGAGACTTCTGTGCTTAAAAGAAGAGTTTGGAAAATGGGATCTTAAAACAGAGCCATGAACAACAATTTCTGTGCAGAGAGGTAAGGTTAAGTAGGGAGTGGGGAGGCGTCTGCCTTCTGGATGAAGTGCAAACAAAGTCCATTACCTGAGATTTCCACTGACCACTGTATCTGGTCCAACATCTTAAGGCAATTTTTCCAGTTTAAGTAAGCTGAATGTAATGGCTATAATCAATGGTTTATATTAATTAAGATTTAAAAAGTAAAGTAGTTGCTTCACTATGTTACTGAGGCAGCAGAATGGGGAGGAAGAGGTGTTGGAGGTTAGCCATGAGCTAGAAAATGAGAACCCTACTTATCTTTCAGTTTCCCTACAAAGAGATAGAAAGAGGAAACCCAATCTTATGATACTGGTAAGTACACTAGAAACTGCCCCAGAACATCTTCTCCTGGACAATTCAGACCTGATTTACCACCAAGAGATTGTTGGATCCTCACATAGACATAGTACAAGGAATCCCTGATCTATGTTTTCTCATTCAGTAGATATTATAATGAGGGAGTACTGAACAAGTCCTAATGTTGGAAGGTCTTTCTACTCAAGAAAGCTGAGAATTGCATGAAGATTAATAGGTTTCCTACCTTCTTTATTTTACCAAGTATCAACTTAATTAAGCTTAAAATTTAATACTAGGAGCAAAATATATTTTGAACATAATCACTAAGTGATAGAAAGATCTATGTCTTGAAATAGAGAATTTGGGTGGGGGGAAGCTAAGCTATCATCAATTCCAATAAGCAAAATGCACAATAGCCTAGTGTCCATCACAAAGCCATTATAGGAACAGCTCTGATCTTGGAACGATAGTGTGGTACAGAAGGAATCAGCTACCCAGAGTCAGGAAATCCAGTATTGAGTCCAACAATTGCATCTACCAGCTACTTAAACTTGTTCAGATCCAAGGCCACTTTTTCATTCAGCAAATGTATTGACTAACAATATAAATATTCTGAAGGTATTGTGCTGAAATTAGACAATGGTAGTGGAAGTGCTTTAATCAATTAGAAGAAGTTAAAGAAATGTTGCCAGTTGCTGTGATTTTAACAACTTTGATTTTTCAGTTTTATTCACATATAATTGTCCATTTCATTTTTGGTAAGTTTCATTCTTCAGGGAAATTGCCACCAAATAGTGCAAAATGCTTTCATTCGCTTGGCCTGAATGATTTATCTGACTGCCAGATTGCAACTGTGAATTTCCCTCTTCTTTTCCCCCTCTATACACTTTTCCATTTCAGCTTCGGCTAAAGGATTTCATAGATTTCAACCCCTTTCATTTTTAGGTTAATTTTTCTTCTCTTCTAGGAGGTGAAGGCTGGAATGGAATTATGCAAAGTCTCTTGCTCTGAAAGTATCAAACTTCCCTTGCAAATAGAATAATTTTTCTATTTCAGCACAAAATTGCTTCATTTAATACAAAGAGAAAAAACTGAGCAAAGCAACTTTAGTTGGGATTTCTTAATCTCCACCAAATGCAGAGGAAGGCAAGTAGCTAAGAGATGAACAGGAGAGTGTGGACTACACTTAGGCCCAGAGAACTGATACTGAGACAGGAAGTGATGAAATCAAGCCTCTCACGCACAGAGAGTCTATCATGGGGGCGATAGGGAGGGAAAAGTGGAACATGGGGAAGTCAGTCAAGGGGAGAGGGAAGAAGAGGTCAAATGAGACTTTGGTAAAAGTCCCATCATTGCCCCACATTTTTCTGGGGCTGGAATTAATTATACTGCTTCCTTTTCACTACCAATCTCCCATTAAGAAAAATGGCCAAATTTAACTTAATTCTCTTTGAGTACTAAATTTCCTAATTCTTTGATGCTACAGACAGTGCTCACAGAAGAGGGAAAAGTGTAAACAAATTTGACAGTATACTAATTGTTTAGTGCTCAAAGACCAAATGGACTTATTCTGCTTTCTTCCACCCTAAACAATCAGTGGAAAAAAAGGTATCAGCAAGACTGATTATTAAATATCTGGGTACCAGGTATCTTCTATCATATTACTTTATTAATGTTTACTATTCTCATGTTATTCATGATGGAAAAGTGACAATGTTAATTAGTGGCACAAGGTGAAAGGACAAGAAGCAAAAATTCAGAAAAGTTTTTTGTATAGAGAGGGAATTTCAGAAAGATACATGATGAAGAAAGTGTTGGGGAGAAGCAGTGAGGAGGGAATTGATGGTATCACAGTGGAACCAGGCATCGGGTATGGTAAACATCAAGTGGACATATACAGGGCCTCCCTGGTGGCGCAGCGGTTGAGCGCTGGGTTGCGAGGCTGCCCGCAGCCTCTGCAGCACAGGTTCGATACCCGGCTGCTCCCCAGCCACCGCAGGAGGGTCCCACATGGCGTGCAGACCTCTCCTGCGGCCCGCTGCTCCCCTCAGCAGTGTACTTTGGTCCTTCTGCCTGCTCTGCTCCCCGCTCTGGCTCTGGTGAATTCTCTCACCCTCCCGCACTTCTGACTGTACTCAGTGCTTGTATAAATATAAACAAATAAATAAAAAAAAAAAAGTGGACATATACAGTGTGTGATTTCACACAGAGGCACATTCAGCCTGCTCCACTCCTTGTTGCCAAGTGCAGGCCCCACCTCGTGTTATCGATATTTTGGACTTGTGTCACGAACTCAATAGACTACAAAGAAAAGGAATTTCATACTGTGTTCACGTGTGTATGCACCTCCAGGGTGCTGCTGACCCGCTCACTCCCCTATTAACACCAAATATTTCATGCACTTAACCTAGTGGTCCTGCATGTCACCAAGGGAATTCAGCCCCATTACCTTTGATACTGGTTGAAGTTAGCTGGAACCTACAATTTGAAAGTTATGGTCAATGCCAGACTCTGGAATCATCTTCCTCGAAAACCACAAAGGTTTAGTAAGAAACACTTCCCCAACTCATTTCTCAGAGAGAAAACATTACCCTTAGTTAATTACCTATAGTAATTAACATTACCTATAGTAATAATGGTACCTTGCAAAGTGAAAGAATTGACACAGAGATTTCAAGTTGGGCTTTTAAAACCTTGGCTATGACACGGTAAGGATTTTTATGATAATTTATATAAAATCAAATATAAAATATTGTATGACAAAATGAGTACTTCTCCAGTTAGAGTGCATACTTCAACGTACATAATTCCCACAGACAGAACTGAAGAACAGGTCAGACCCTTGGGCTGACTAAACCACCATGGCCACTAAGGCCTCCTGGCCCCACATTCCACTTTTCCACACCTGTCAGCCCCTTTCTCTTTCTGAGGAGCTGGTGTGACAAATACTCCTCAAGTCTCCAGTTCTATAGGGACACCCAAATTACCTTCCCAGAAGAAGGCCTTACTTCTCCGTGCCAAGTGTGCCCCAGTGGATCAGACTTCCGCTTTCTTCATTTCCTGACCATCTACAGCAGATCAGAGCTGCATGTGTCCAAGTCATCCTTCCTGCTCTGCAGCGGTTTTCAAACTGTGATCCTGCAACCTCTGCCAGCCCACAGAGCCCCTCAGGGGTCAGCTCACAGTCTGAGAGAGGGCCCTTTCTCACTACCTCTGTGTCACCACCACAGCAGTTTTGCCTCTTTCTACATTAGAAACTTGACTTCTAGATCACAGCTGAATTTCCTGCTCATGTAAGGAACCAACTAAACTTGCCCAATTTTGGTTGATTAGATGAGGGTGGAATAGGACAATTTCCTCACCCTGCTGGAGAAGGGCAGGATGTCATCCCTAAGGCTCCTGAGCTTCCACCAAGACTTCAAAGTACTTTTGTCCACACCAGCCTCATTGATTTCACCCTCAACAACATCTTAAAGTAGGAATTACTATTCCCATTTTGATAGACAAATAATCTGAAAAAGCAAAGGACTTTCTGAAAATGGCCTGGTTATTGAGTGGCAGAGCCAGGGCACACACTTTGTGGATAATGGACTCCTGTTCCCCAACAATGATCTATTGTAGAGTATGTTCTCTGGTCCTTCCTTACTTGAAGTTATTTACCTGTGTACTAATTAATTCTTTGGATTTCATCTTCCTAAGAAGGCCTTATACGTTTCTCAACAGAAAAAGTCTTAAGTAAGAAATGAAGACCATGAGGACTAACCTGTCCTAGAACTTCCAGAAATTCTTTGTGCTACATTGGGCTTTATGGTGCCTGGCCTTCTACACACAAGGCCCCATGGTCAGCTGCTGAACATGACCAACAGACCCAGCAGACACAATGAAGCTATTAAAACTCAGTAGCTAGCACCATTCAAATGCTACTTCCATGGTTTACCAGGCACATGCTGGGTTTCTGGGGAACTTTCCTCTGTTGTTAAATACAATTCAGGAAACATGTAATTCAAAGTAAACAAATTTGCAAATTCTAGGGAAGTACTAGCATTATAAAAGAACATTTCTCAGAATCCTAATGACATATCCAACAAGAAGGGCAGAAAAAGAGTAGAGTAAGAAAGAAATATAGTTCCTCTGTTTTCAAGAAAAGAGGCAGATTAGTAGATAAGCACCACATATGGAGCATTTAGGTGCTGGGCTTACAACACATGGAATCACTTTGCTCAGCTGCAGCGTAATGTATTTAATGCAGCTGCACTTCTTTTATCACTTGTGCAGAAATGAATCAAGTGTAAAGAGGTTGACTCAAAATAGAAAAAAGGACACCCAAGTTGAAATTTTACACCATCTCACACATTTCCTGTGCAACATCCACATTGTCTGCGAGAAAATATATCATAACCAGTACAAGGAAACAGTCAATGGAAATGCCTTCTCCCTGGAAAAGTTTGATCATAATCTGAAGCAAGGAGATCTTTGCCATTTACATGCACTCTAGACTCTTTAATACTTACCTGAGCAGAAAAGTCAATGAGCTTTGGAAGCAGCACTTTGCCTCCTTCATCACTCTTCAGGAAATCCAGCAAACTACCTGTTGATAGAGGAAGAACAAATTAGTATGGTTTAGACATTCAAGAAAAACAAACAAGCAAACAAAATTCAAGGGATCTTCACTATTTGGGAGAGGGAAAACCCCACAAAATGTTTTTGCAATTCTGTGTTGTCACAGTGTTTTTTCCTGAGGTTGGTCAAATCTGGTTCCCTCTACCTATTACCTTTGACCTGATGTGAAATGTAGCATGTGCTCCAGGTAAGAGAGGGTGAGAGTGGAGTCTGCTATTCTCACTGCAGGTGTCCTAGAGCACACATTTCAGAGCCACCTGCCATCTCCATACCTCACTGCCACTACCTGAGCTTCCAAGCTTCCCTGGAACCACTGCACAAGTCCTCACAAAGGTCGTGTGCACAGCAGGCACTCAGCTAGTTTGCTCCTGACTATAGCCAGGAAAGGCACAGTGTGAGCTCGGTAGATGCTGTGAGTATTCAATGAGTATTCCATAGACTGATTGTGCTTTGGGGAAAGGTCAGATCTACTTAAAGGAATTATGCTTCCTGTGGCTTTATCTCTAAAAAGAGACTTGCTGTTCCCTAAACTTAAAGTACCAGTGTAAGGGTAGCCTTGGGAAGTTACATACCTCATCTAAGTCCCTTGAAGGGGCCCTATTCTAGTAGTTATATTAGAGTTCTTGTGCAAACATTTGCTTAATAAATGTCCAACCACCACCTGCACAGCATGAACAATGATACTGAGCCCTCAGCTTGCTGACAAGGTGAAATGAGATCACCCAAGAAAGATATCAAGAACAATCTGGTCCATAATGGTTAGGTATTGTTATCAGGAGAAATCATGTGTACATTTGTGATTAAAAAGCTAATCATTTCTAATTAATTCAACAAATGTTTACTGGACTCCTACATGTGTCAACCCTGAGCCTGGTTTCTATACTCTCCAAACCTGTGTGATAGGGGAAAGTTTTTTTTTTTTTTTTAAACAATGTGCTTTTGGGGGAGGACTCTGAATGACTAATATTCTGAAATATTAACATATATCAACTAATAAAATGTATTATTCATCTTTCTAACCTATTCAGTTATGGGGTCAATTGATAATCTCTATAATGCATGAAATGACAGTTAATTCTCAATTATTGTTTATGTTTCTTTCTTGTCTTCACTCCTTCCAAAGACTTTTTTAAAAGTTTATTTTTGCAGTTTATTAGTACGTATTGAACTGGAGGAAGAAGGATGGCCTTTCATCTGAAGCCGATTACAATGAAAATCTCTTCTAAGATTACATGGAATTATATTTAACCTCAACAAGTTTTAAACATATAACAATTTAAAGTAACTCCTGGGGCCTCCGTGGTGGCACAAGGGGTTAAGCACCACACTGTGAAGCAATCCACAGCCTCTGCAGAACTAGTTCGATCCCCGGCTGGCCAGGGAGCTACCCACATGGCACAAGTAGACCTCTCCTGTCTTGCCCACTGCTCCCCTCAGCAGTGATTTCAGTCAATCTGCCTGTTCTGTTCCCCACTCTGTCTCTGGTGAATCTTCTCACCCCCCCACATCTCTGGCCTGTACCCCAGCTCTCGTATGCATAAATAGATGGATCTTTAAAAATCAATCAATCAATCAATAAAGTAACTCCTGGAACACTTAGATAATGCTAAGGAGGAAAATGGGCTAAGTTTAAAATTTTGAAAAATCACAATTTAAATATAATAAAAATGTTCTAATTTAAAAGATGTATTTTTAACAACTATTTATTGGGGATCTCTTGTGAATGGGGTATAATTCTTGGGGATAATACATCTACACAGAAAATAGGAGTATATTAATTATATATATTATATATATATTTTTATATTAATTTTATAACATAGATTACTTCTAAGGAGTGGAGAAAATCTGTTTTTCCGTATTTTCCAAGTGTTTAGTAGTAAGCCTGCTGTTTACAATGAAATTGACTTATGTATTCCACAAGAACGTAGACGTTTTCCATTCTCAATTCCAGCCTTTTCCAGGCCCTGGCCTGGGCACTCACCCTTGGCCATGTACTCGGTGATGATGTAGATGGGCTCCTCTTTGGTGACCACGGCGTACAACCTCACCAGCTTGTCATGCTGAAGGGTCTTCATAAGGTTTGCCTCCTCCAGGAAAGCCTGCACAGACATGGTGCCCGGCTTCAGGGTCTTCACAGCCACCTTGGTGCTGTTGCTGTAGTAACCTACGAGGCAAGCAAGGCAGGCATGTGTGATCAAGGCAAACATTCACAAGCTTCATGCTCAGCAGATTTAGTTACAGACAGAAAAAGTGTATGTAAAATCCTGTATCATGTGCACATGGTAGAAACTTCCCTGTATAGAACATTAAGAGAAGTGAGTGAAGGATATCTGAGCATTCTTTATACGGCCTTACACAAACATGTGAGATTATTCTAAGATCAAAAGGATTTTATAAATACTAAAGCAAAAATTTATATGTATTCCACTATGAAGACTAAGATTTTCCTCTCATTAATGACATATTATTTCACTCTTGCCATTTGCAGCAACAAGGATGGAACTGGAAGGGAATATGCTAAGTGAAATAAGCCAGAAGGAGGAAGACAAATACCCAATGATGTCACTTATAAGTGGAATATAAATAAACCAAACAAAGACAAACTCTGAAACCAACCCTTGAAAGCTGACTGTGGATCTGAGGCATCTAGAGGGGAAGAAGGAGGGGAGAGAAGAGGGGAATAGAGCACAGTAGACTATGGTGGAGGATTATGGGTGCTCTAGTGGTCAGAGTATTAAGATGATCCTGAAGGGGAGATCCTACACTTTCAAAACACTTACAAGGATGTAAAACAAAGGTACTTCAGTAATAAAGAAATAGGGGGCCTCCCTGGTGGCGCAAGAGGATAAGACACAACCTATGAAACTATCCGCAGCCACTGCAGCACAAATTTGATTCCTGGCCAGGGAGCTACCCACATGGTGCAGCAGACCTCTCCTGACTCTCCAGCTGCTCCCCTCAGCAGTGTACTTCAGTACATCTGTCTGTTCTGCTCCTCACTCTGTCTCTGGTGAGTCCTCTCACCCCCTGCATCTCTGGCCTGTACCCCAGTTCTTGTATGCATAAATAAAGAAATCTTTAAAAAAATAAAGAAATAAAACAAAATGTTGCTATTTAAAGCAAAAAAATACCCCATACTAATGCTCTAGATGTTATATACACATACAACACATAAACAAATGCACAAACACATTATAATCTTCATTTTAAAAATACAGGTATATTGTATATAGACACACACAGATTCAGACAACAGTTTGAAAGAAAATGCATCAGATACTGGTTATTTTCAATAATGCAATTATTGGTGTGATTACTGTTCACCATACTTTTAACTATTTACCAAATTTTCTATAATAAACATGTAACTTTTATAACTAGAAAAAAAGCTTTGCAGTTAAAAATTTGTTTAAATACACAGAGAAGGGCCTCCCTGGTGACGCAGCGGTTGAGCGCTGGGTTGCAAAGCTGCCCGAGGCCTCTGCGGCGCCGGTTCAATCCCCGGCTGCTCCCCGGCCACCAGAGGAGGGTCCCACTTGGTGCGCAGACCTCTCCTGCTGCCCGCTGCTCCCCTCAGCAGTGTACTTCGGTCCTTCTGCCTGCTCTGCTCCCCGCTCTGGCTCTGGTGAATTCTCTCACCCTCCCATGCTTCTCACTGTACCCAGTGCTTGTATAAACAAAACAAACAAACAAATAAATAAATAAAAAACATGCCTCTATTAAAAAAAATAAAAAAAATAAATACACAGAGAATATTACTATCAAGTAAGTATTTTCCAAGGTTTTCAAAGAGAATTGTACTTGGGTGATTCGCCATGGAAAGAAAGTGTTCTGTGCGGAAGCATCTGGGAACTGCTGTCCCCACTTCTCTCCCCACATTCCACCCCAAGGGCTGCCCTGAAGCAAGGGAGGCCCTTCAGTGAGGAAATCTGTCTGGCTCTGTCATGCTGGCCATTTCTCTTGACTGCAGCATACTTTTTCATGTAGATTTTCAAGGCCCATAGGACATACTTTGGGAAAGACTGACTCCTTAACCTAGCTTCCCCAAAGTACCACTCTTTTGGGACCTGTCTCAATAATATGCTTAATTTGAGCCTGATTTCTCCTGGGAGAGCCTTCTCTCAATGGGTTGGCAATGTAGAAAGAGATAATCATGTCCCCATTCCTTTCCTCTCTGTTTCTATACTTCTCTTGGAAATACCGAAAACAAGATAAGAAAGGAAGGGCCGTTGTTACCGCCACACCAACCTCCCTGGAGGTGGCATGTACTCGGATGTGTGGTGTTTTACTGTACCTGCCTAAGAAAAATACACCTCTAGAGGCCTCCCTGGTGGTGCAGGGTTTAAGTCTCAACACTATGAAGCTATCACCAGCCACTGCAGCACGAGTTCACTCTCCAGTCAGGGAGCTAACCCACAGGGCACAGCAGACCTCTCCTGTCTTGCCCACTGCTCCCCTCAGCAGTGTATTTCAGTAGATCCACCTGTTCTGCTCCTCACTCTGTCTTTTGCGAATCCTCTCACCTCCTGCATCTCTGGCCTACACCTCAGTTCAAAAGCTACTACCTACACAAAAAAATGGGATCATGAATATATTAAATTGATTTGTCATTTAAAAGCATAATTACAAACAATATGATCTTTACTGTGGCCCTTAACAGTACATTTAAAGTAAATTCCACTAACTAAAGTCCTTCAATATTATATTTGAATCATGAAAAATTCATTATAAATTTGGTGAAAAGTTTAAAAATAGATCCTCAACCACATGAATATATCCATGTCAAAGCACAGCAAGAAAATACACTCTGTTATTTGGGGATATATGCAACCAGCAAAGGACTGTGCTGGCTTACACCAGTGCAAAAATGTTCACAGCAGCATGGCCCAAAGCTCCAAAGTCTGGGAACAACGCCAATTCCATCTCGGCAAATAGCGAAATCCATAGATACATTATTAAATTTCACCATTCTATGTAGCAATGGAGATGAATGAATGGTAACTACAACCAAAACTGGCTAAACCTCACTAACAAAATGTGAGGTAAGAAAGACAAGACAAAAAGAGTACATTTGTGTTAAGTTCCAAAATAGGCAAAACTAAATTATGTTGCATTCCCATATATAAAAATAGAAGAACTATGACAAAAAGCCAGGAAATTATCACAAAAGTCAGAATGGCAATCATCTTTGGGGCACAGGTCGCGACTGAGGGTTTCTGGGGGCTGGCAAATTTCCACAGGGCAGTCAGTTGTCACCACACGGGTTTTCAGTCTGTAATTATTTGTGAGATTAAATATATTTTTTGCATGCACTTTTCAGACTGATTGCTATTTTAAGTAGCAATAAAAATAAAAATAACAATACTCTTCTTTTTTTGTCATCAAATAAATGACAAATAAAAACCAAGGAACTCATCAAGACATTTCCATAATATAAAATTATGGCTAAAGGATGAAGAAAAAAGTGCTTCCCAAGCATAGCGGGGAAAGTTTTCAGGAAATACTGCAGCTGCTCAAGATATTTAAACCACTGATAAGGAATCTGAGATGAACAGTGACTACAACAGCTCTGTCAAACACAGCTCAAGAATGGATGCAGTTTCCTCTAAGTATTCTCTGAGGGCTATGCCATTTAAACAATAGGGCAGGTTTTCATATTGCATCACAGGCGTGCTTCTTATTCAACACTAAGGAGCAAATTGTACTTTGCCAAGATATTCCTCAGTCCTGTCAATGGGCATTATGGGTGGGAAATGACTTTTTTTTTTTTTTAATTTTTAAACAGTAGAAAACTATTTCTTGTGGAGTACCACTTTGCCGCTGTTAAAGAACTGATCTGATCATTTGAGAGAGATCCATTTTCAGATATGACTAACTTGCTAAAAAAGCACTAAGTACCACAAAATGGAGGGTGGTCTAAGAAAAAAGATGCATGCAGTTAGTTTTGGAAGATGACTAGGGATTCATTTCAAAGGACTCGGCTCAAATGAAAATATATATCTAGCAAATTTCTATTCAAAATAAGTTTCCTTTCTTTGACAGTCTTTTTATAGACTTAGTAGTACAGGAAGCATCATCCTTAGCTTCACTGATCAGTCAGTTCTCATGGAATCCAGAGATCCACAGAGGAAAACATGTCACCAAACCAGATGTCAAGAGAATCACACCAGCAAGAGGAAACAGCTTGAGGGAGAAACTCCTCTTGCTTTTCTCCCCACTGGTTCCCTCCCCCAAAGAACAGGTCACTTCCTCATATTTGTTCTCTGTATTACAGACTCCAGAAATTCAGACCACAAAATATGATGGCTAATTTGTAAACCATGCTTCACAAAAATATTAACATACTTAGTCAACAGTGATATAATTTTTAAATGGTGGTTCATTTTTTGATCAATGAGAAGAGCTAGCCTGCTTCACACTTAGGAAATAAAAAAATTCTGGCAGCTTTACCTTGCACAGGCTTTGCTGTTATACCTGCCACAGAACAGTCAACGTGAGATTCATGCTTACATTGAAAGAGGGGGCATACTTCTGTTCTGCTGGTAATTTAACACCACCCACTGCATTAGTCTTTTGGATTCATTCCCAGTATTCCTCTGCTAAAGGCATTCAACATAGTAACATTATTTCAATAGCTAAGAAGGAACTCTCTGGCTGGCAGCCAAATTTGCAGTCATATCTGCATAAGATCCAGGTCAAAATGTTCTATTTCTTTTCTTTTGTTTCCTTTCTATCCTTCCTCCTCTTCCTTCCCTCCTGCCCTCCCTCCATTCCTCTATCTGTCCTTCTCTCCACCTTCCCCCCTCTTTCTTTTTTTCCTTTTCTTTAATACAAGACCAGAAGGAGAAAGCACAATTAAAAAACAAACAACTGTCAATGTCAACATCCTGGCATTGACATTATACTGTAGTTTTGCAAGATATTACTTTTGGGGAAAAATGGATAAAGCTTACATGAGCTTTCTTTGTATTACCTCTGTTAAATATATAATAGCTTTATTGAAGTACAATTCTGTGTTGTACCATTCCCCACATTTCAGTATATGATTCATTGGTTTTTGTATATTCAGAGTTAGGTGATCACCACCATAATCAATTATTGGTACATTTTCATCACCCCCAAAAGAAAGCCTGTACCTATTAGCTATGACTTCCCCTCTTCTTCCATCCCCTCATCTGAAGCAACTCATTTACTTTGTCTCTATAGATATGTCTATTCTGAGCATAACAATGGAATTATATATGTGACCCTTTATATCTACTCTCCTTCATCTAACATAGTGCCATCAAGGTTCATTTCCATTATAGCATTATAGTGTCAATAAATTATTTCTTTTTATTGCTGGAAAATACTCTACTGTATAGCTATTCCACATTCTGTTGAACCATTCACCAACTGAAGGACATTGATTACTTTCACTAAACAATCTATATTGTATCTATATTATTTCTTACAATTTCTTGTGAATCTTGAATTATCTCAAAATATAAAAATCAACTGTGTTGAGTGGAGAAATGTTGGGTAACTTCTCCATTCATAGCCTTTGCTCTAATGTTACCATAATTTCTTTGTAATACAATCAACTATTTAATAATAACAATAATTCTTTGATGCTTAGCTGCATTATCGCTCATCTTTACAACATCCCTATGAGTTAGGTTCTATTATAATCCTCATTTCTCATGAGGCTTTACCGCTTAACTCTTCTAAAACATTGTTGACAAATCAAACAAACAATATGGTTGAAAAATTGTAAAGGACTTGAACAGACATTTCTCCAAAAAAGATATGCAAATAGCTAACAAACACATGAAAAGAAGTTCAACATCACTAATAATTAGGAAAATGCAAATCAAAATGACATTGACACAAGATGTCACACCTATTATGATGGTTAGCATGAAAAACAAAAGAAAGCCCTTCAAAAATAACAAACATTGGTGAGGATATGGAGAAACTGGAACACTTGTGCACTGGTGGGAAGGTAAAGTGGTGCAGCTGTTATGGAAAAAATATGGCAGTTCCTCAAAAAAAAAAAAACAGAGTTGCCATATTATATAATAACCTCATCTCCATGTATATGCCCAAAAGAATTAAAGCAGGATTTCAAAGATATTTTCCCATCTATGTTCATAGTGGCATTATTCAAAATTGTCAAAGATGGAAGAAAACCAAGTGTCTTCTGATGTATGAATGAGTACATCAATACAATGGAATATGATTTAGCTTTAAAAACAAAGGTAATTCTGACACATACTACAACATGGATGAACCCTGAGGACATTATGTTAAGTGAAAACATCCAGTGACACAAGGACAAATACTGTATGATACCACTTGTTTGAGGTACCCAGAATAGACACTTTTAGAGTGACAGAAAGTAGAGAGAGCAGGAAGATGGACTCAAAGATGCAAGCACAATTACATGTGATTATCATCCTGTATTTTACTTCTTTGTCTTAGTGAAGCAGCAAGGCTGAAAAGGGAGGTACCAAGGAGAGAGGGTAGGGCCCCTGTTTACTGAAGTAAACTGCTAGGGGTATGAGGCTGGAGTAGATAGCCCTCCAAGATTAGGAAGTGTTCAGAGGGACAGGGGTAAATGCAATGTTTATGTATAAAAAAGCTAAAACAAATATAACAAAATATTAACTGGTATCTAGGTAAAGGGTATGCAATATTTATTATACTATTCCTGTCTCTATTTTGTGGATTTGAAAAAAATACATATTAAGAAATAAATATGTATACTTTATGGGGGAAAAAAAAGAAGGTAGCATTTTTTTAAATGAGCAAACAGTAATTTGACAATTCCTCAAAAAGTTAAACATAGACTTATAATATGATCCAGCAATTCTATCCCTAAAAAAATATATTTACCTGAGGGAAAAAAAAAACACTTATCTACATGATAATTTATACATAAATGTTTAAGGCAGCATTATTGACAATAACCAAAAGGTTTAAACAACCCAAATATCCATGAGCGGATAAATGAATTAACAATTTAGAGTTTATAGGGCCTCCCTGGTGGGGTAGGCAGTTGAGCGCAGCGCTGCGAAGCTGTCTGCAGCCTCTGCTGTGCAGGTTCGATCCCCGCCAGCCACAGAGCAGCCAGCCACAGGGCAGACCTCTCCTGTCTTGCCTGCTGCTCCCCTCAGCAGCGTATTTCAGTCAGTCTGCCTGTTCTGTTCCCCATTCTGTTTCTGGTGAATCCTCTTACCCTCCCACACATTCCTGTACCCCGATTCCTGTATAAATAAATAAATCTTTAACAAAAAAATCTAGTTTATACAAGCAGTTGAATATTACTTAGCCAATAAAAAGAATGAAATTCTCATACATGCTGTAATATAGATAAACCTTGAGGCTTTTATGCTAAATAATAAGAGACACAAAAGGGGAAACACTATACAATTCTACTTAGATGAGATACATAGGGGAGTCAAATTCATGGAGATAGAAAGCAGATTGGTGGTTGCTAAGGGTGAGACAGAAGGAGAGGAGAATAAGGAGTGACTTCTTAATGGGTATAATATTTCCTTTTGGATCTAGATAGAGGTAGAGGTTGCACACCGTTGTGAATATAGCAAATGTAATGAATTATTTACTTCTAAGTAACTGATTTGTAACATGAATTTTACCTCATAAAAAAAGATAGCAAAAGGAGGAGGATATTATTATGACTAGGGCAACAGAGTGTGGATGGAGGAGACCACATCTAGAACAAGCACCCAGTTCTACAACTCTGCTGACCGGATGGAAACAGAGTGCTTGCAATACCTGCGACTAGGCCAGAAATACACCACCGAAAAGAAAGATGCAATGGGGCTGCAATGATAATGGGCCTGAATTTTCTAAATATGTCCACAAAGACCTACAGTGTAATGAGAATTAATTACATGGTGGTTTAATACGCCATATTTAAAAAATACTGGACTATTGCACGGACAGCAGGAAAAAGGGGGAAGAGCTTGGGTCTCAGGGGCCAAGATTGTAGAGGACAAACCTCTCCTTCATAGACTCCCAGTGGGGAAGTAAAATGATGACGCTGGAGGAGTCTATAGTTTCTGCTAGACTAGGGTTAGGCAATTTTAAAAAAAGCCCTCTGTGCCTCATTCTCTTTAGAAATCATCTTTGTTCTCACTCATGCAAATTGACATAGAAAAGAGATCCAGAAAGATGTGTATGACCTACATGTTATCCTTGCCAGAAGTAATTGCATTTTCATTAGTACTGTGAAGAGAATATGATGCTCTTTAAAAAAAAAAAAATGTTTAAAAATTGTCACCACTCAAGAAAAAAATTCATACTCACTACAAAAATTTTAGAAAAAACAAGCCCCCCCAAAAAAAATACCCAGAGGAAGCCACTGCTATAATTTTGGGGTGCTTCCTGCCAGTCTGAGGAGGCAGGACTTAATTGATGAATTGTGATTCATCAGTTGAGGAAACTCAAAACATTTAGAAACTTTCTTGGTGAGAAATTGGAATCAAGGTAAGGCTTCCTATTAAATCTATTGGTGAGGATGCTCCTAAACCCAGTGCCCCTATCCCTGAGAAAGATGCAATTTCCTGTACTTCAAATGTGTGTCCGGAGAGTCCTGTGATGAGAGAACCATGAAAGAGTAGACAGAACAATGAGGATCAAGACCCACTGCCCTCTTCCTTGTGATGCAATTCTAAGAGAGAATTACCAAGTCACAAGGAAGAGGAAAAGTCTAATGAAATAGACTTTGCCGGCCAGCTCTTGGTGCCAAGCGGACAGAGAAAAACAAAAGTGGTGTTTCTGATGCAGCTTCGGGTTTGGTGAGAAAAAGGATAAAAATTGGCCTGAGCCATTATTTCTCTTATTGTCATCTCCAAACTGGACTCTGGCCCCAGAGCCACTCACTCACCCATCCAGACTTCCCCAAATTGTCCAGCACCAAGTCTTTTCACCAACTTAATGGACTCCCGTGGGATCTCCCAGGCATCTTTATCCCAAGGCTTCTGTGGCTTGGGACTAATACATGCTTTCTCCAGTCTTCTGCACAAGCCATCTGACTGCTCTAAGTTAAAAGAATATCAAGGTTAAAACGTTATATTTTGTTTTTTGCCAATATCTATAAGAAAGTTGGGATTATTAATCTCCAGTTTATCATCATCTACAATCCTAAAGTGCTTATGGGGATATCTTTGGCATAGTCATGACTTTTGAAATTCTTACATGAAAGACAATTGAAAACATACTTGATATTATTCATTACTACTATCAATTCTATTTAAGCAAAAACTACAAAATGGATAAACAAAGACAGACTGTCACACTTAATAAAATATAATTTCAGATCTTGGAGGCCATAGGAGCTCCTCAAGACATGACAGCGGGGACTCGGTCCTATCACCAGCGGACTCCAAGACCCAGAACAGGACTGGGGCGCAGCAAGGACCCAATACAGAGGAAGCGAAAGGGGACCACAAAGAGGGAGGGAGGAGTCCACAAAAGTTGGATACCCTGCTCTTGCTACATTTTGAAACCTAAAGCAAATCTACAATGTGCATTCCCTGAGGGCAGGTTGTGGGTCTAAGCAGTAAAAGCAGCTGTCAACTACAAACAGCTCCGGTCACACAGGGAATGGACGTAAAGACTGGTTGTGGGTACTGTTCAACAGGCTTGGAGAGCAGCACTGGAAACAGAGGACAGATGTATGGTCGCTTCTAAGTGTTTCACTGTTGTTGTTATTTATATTTTGCATTATCAACTGTATACAAAACTGTCATGCACACAAACAGAAATACAAAACCATAGATCTGCAGCTCTGCATTTCTAGTCCAGATATTTAAAGATGCATTTTAAAAGTCCTCACAATGTGAAAATAGTATTCATTTCTCACTCGGTAATTTTGTAACTGTTAAATAGCATGAATTAATTGGAAGGGATGGTGATAATTATTCATAAAGTTTGAATCTGACTTTGAATGTATATTTAATTATGGATTATTTAGATTCAATTATAGAATAGGATCCTCCAACTTTATCAAAAGAAGAAGTATGGGTAAAAATGTAAATCAAAAAATGCTTAATATCAAATATTTCTCATAACAAACATTTTGTTTTGTTCAATTTCAGTTTCAACTTACTTTGGTAATGTTTAATCATGTCACTGATACAAGGAAAAGTGATTCGTGGAGAGATGTAATAACCTCCATTGTCCAGACTTCTGATTTTGTAGTGCTTAATAACATCGCCATGCACAGGGTCATAGTCTCTGACAGACAGAGAGTAACTTCCTGCAGGGGAAAAAGTACAAATAAAGATTACGTTTATATTTCACAAATAAGATCAACATTATACAACACTGTGGTACTCATTTTGCCATAGAAATATGCAAAATGTGCATTCTGTTAAGTGTGTGTCATTTTTAAATTCCTATAAAAAGTTTACCAGAAGAACAAACCTAACAATTTATTTGCTATGAAGTTTACCAACAAGACATTTTCCTTCTCCATGATAGTTACTTTTTATTATTTCATTCAACTGGAAAGTTATTTTCATTCTTTTCTCTTAACATTTCAAGATTTACTCTAAATAATAACACCAAAGTCTCAACAAACATACAGCAGGGTAAGAAATGGCCATAATAGTGTCTGCTTTCTAGTCACTTTTAGCACCAAACTAATCACTTGACTTTGTTATTTGTTACAGAACTGTAAAACTTTCACCACCAGAACATAATATATCTTTTTTTCCTTTCAGAAATCTAGAATAGTTTCTGAGGCTAATTTCCTAACTAATGCTTCATGAGGCCACACGTCACTTCCTACCTTTTAAGGTTTCACTTTCTCTGATAAGAAAGGCTCCGGCGCTGTTCCCTGGTGCCAGAAGCTGCCTTTCTGCGTCTTTCCTGGTTATATCCTTGAAAAACCATCTGAGAAGACATGGTAACAGTTTGTGGGTATTATGGTCAAGGGAAGGAAAAGATCAAGAATAAACAAGAAATCTATGGCAGCAAGCAAAACAATCAAAGAAAACAACACATAAGGACTTACTCTTCCGTTTCCAAGGTGTTGACTTTGGCTACGTAATTGCTGGGGATGAAGCCTTCTCTCTTAGTTGAAAGGGATTTTGCTTTCCACCATTCCCCATGCCTGGAATAGAAAAACATCAAAAGGGTTTTGTATTCAATGACTCAAGAAACTACAATAGCAATTGTCTTAAGGTGTTTATTTGGGAAGGGAGATCCCTGGAACCCTAGAATCCGGTGGGAAAATTCACTCCTCTTGATGAAATAAAAATATTTAGAGATTGAAGCAAGGGACCACAGCCTTGCAACTGAAGTGTTGGTCACTGTGCTCAGCGCTGCATAAACTAGAATTGGTAAAAATGACTCCTATCTTGAAGAAGCAAACATTTGTCATTTCCCCCAGGATATGTAAGAAAAGCTTTCTGATCTTTCCAGGAGTGGAGTCGAGGGAATAATTGACTACGGTTCATGTTATAAACTCCTTTGTTATAACATCTAGTTTTCCATAGACAGATGTTATAAAAAATATTTTTTTAACTCATAAAATAATTCCAAGTAGGTAGGTTTCATTCATCAAGGAAACAGGGAGAAGGCTGAGGCCAGTGAAGGTGGCAGGAATGAATGGGTTCCTGTGAGACCCAATGATGTCTCCCTTCAAATTCCCTCACAGACACAGGATCCTTGTCTATGAGACATGAAGGACAGCTACAACTGAAACTAACCTGTTACTGCCTGTATGCCTGAGTTACATTTATTTATGTGCACATACATACACACTTAATCCTTAAATCAATCCCACAATACAGACATGTCATTCCCATTTTATAAAGGAAACTGAGGTTGAGCTGAAGTGACTTGTCAAGGTGACATAGTTATTATGTGGCAGGACCAGGATTAGGCGCAAGTAAATGGTCAATTAGTCATCAACAACTGCTCTCAGCTACTGGTAACTTATAATCAATAAGGGGTCTTTAATAAGGGGCCTCCTTCCTCTAATTCTGGTTGACAGGCCGGTGTATGCATGATTAGTATAAAAAAGCAAGCTAGAATTAAGATAGCTGGAGTTCTTTACTCTCATTATTGTCCAGAGCCCTGTGGTTTAAGCAGCTCACAAGTCTGCATGACATGGAAAACTAAAGGAAATGATGACAACCAAGCGCCTTCACGGAAATGCAACTGCAACTGCTGCTCAGTAAGGGCTTTTCCAAGATGACCACTATTTCAGCATGGTGCCCTCAAAAATCAAACCAGATTGGGCCCAGAAAATAGACAAATTTGAGTACTATAACTAAAGAAAGATGGTATTAAAAAAAATACTCCTAGAAAGGAGTATTTTTTTTTAAAGATTTATTTTTTTATACAAGAACTGGGGTACAGGCCAGATGTGCAGGAGGGTGAGACAATTCACCAGAGACAGAGTGGGGAACAGGAGAGGCAGAAGACCAAAATATGCTGCTGAGGGGAGCAGCTGGCAAGGCAGGAGAGGTCAGCTGTGCCATGTGGGTATCTCCCTGGCCAGTTGGGATCGAACCTGTGCTGCAGAGTCTGTGGATAGCTTCACAGCGCAGTGCTCAACTGCCACCAAAGAACCCAAGAAAGATGGTGTTTAAAGTAATATGCAAACTGCACTCAGGCACAGATGGATGAAAGAACCAGGATTTGCCTTCAGAGGGAAACCTCTTGGAGAGTGCTCATAGCCAAACCTAAAAGAAAAATTCCTTTGACTCTCTTCTGTCCACTCCTAAGCATTTCTGGCAAAAAGAAGCCAGGGAGGCCTCCAGCCCACCACAAGAAGGGGGGTTGGCTATTGCTGTGTTGCTAAAAGTTATACCAGAGGGAGAGTTTGCACGACTCAGAGGTCCAGGGAAAAGCAGCAGGCACAGAGTGTGTGGGTGCACTTACTCTTCCAGGACTTTCATCTTCTCTCCTTTCTTGAAAGACAAGTCATCTGGGTGGATGCCATCGTAAGGGTACAAAGCAATGACAATGTCTCCTTGCTCCTCTGGATCTAAAAATGAAAACCATAAGCAAAAAACTTTAAGAATCTGTCAAGTTCAACAAATCCTCATCAGATATAAAGGATGAAATGGCTTTCTAAAGAGAGGGACAACTGGAACGACATGATTCCTCTGCTGAGGAGACTCAGGACTGCATGGGCTATCGCAAGTACCATAGCACACACTGCAGGACTTGTTACCTCAGCTCGCATAGACCTACAACTATAATTAAGTCCATTTCTGTATTCAAGAAATGCTACATCTGAGTTCACAGCAGCACTATTCTCAAAAGTGAAAAGGTAGATAGACTCTAAATATCTAGTGACCAACGGATGGATAAATAAAATATGGTGTGTATGTACAATGGAATATTATTCAGCCTTGAAAATGAATGAAATTTTAACACATGGATGAACCTGAGGGTTCACATAAGTGAATTGAACTGAACAGCTATTGTATGATATTCAAAGATTCCTGGAGGAATCTAACTCACAGACACAGAAAGCAGGGTGGAGGCTGCCAGCGGCTGGGAGGAGGAGGATGGGAGTGAAAGTTTAATGGGTACAGGGTTTCAGTCTGGGATGATGAAAAAGTTCCTGAAACAGATGGGGTGATGGTATACTTAATGCCACTGAACTGCACTCTTAAAAAATGGTGAAAATGATAAATTTTATGTTACATATATTTTTCTAAATTTAAAAGAAGACATCCAGGTAAACTACTCCATAGAAATTCTAGTTGTAGGGCCTCCCTGGTGGCACAAAGGGTTAAGCACAGCACTATGAAGCTATCTGCAGCCTCTGCAGCACAAGTTTGATCCCCGGCCGGCCAGAGTGCAGCAGACCTCTCCAGTCTTGCCCTCTGCTCCTCTCAGCAGTGTATTTCAGTCTATTCGTCTGTTCTACTCTCCATTCTGTCCCTGGTGAATCCTCTTACCCTCTGTACCTTTGACCTGCACCCTAGTTCTTGTATGCATAAATAAATAAATCTTTAAAAAAAAAAAAGAAATTCTAATTGTAAAGAAAAGAAATGACCATGTTGCTATGAAAACATACCTTTAGTTTGAAACCTTTGTCCTGGTAAAAGTTGAGAATCTGGAACCTAGAAGAGAGTATTTGTTAAAAGAAAATTTTTGTTTAGTTTTTCTTACATTCTTGTTGCATATTATATCGTTTTTCTTATCAGTAAGTTGGAAATAAGTGGAGTACAGAGAAAAGAATCTGTGGGGCTATGTCACAATTCAGCGAAAGGGCTCCTTGTTGGCCTGTGGTGGTGGGAAATGAGCAGGCTCTGAAAAGAGGCTGCTAGATGCTTCCTTGGTCATAATCCTACCTCATATTTGGTATCAGAATCCTAATAATACTTGAGATGTCAGTTTGCCCAACTAAATGATTATGCTTCCAAAGTCTCTAGGCCCCTAGGAAGCTGTGAGGAAGGACCTTATCTATAACAAGCAAGCAGATGTGTGGGGGCTTTGAGCTGATTCACCTTTTCTCTTGCCCTCTTCTTGCTGTCCAGGAACCAGGAAAGGCTGCAGTTGCAGCTGGCATGGAAAGAGACACTAACAGCAAGAGATGGGGCCCAGGTGACCGTGGAATTACCACCCAGCCCAAGACTATGGGTTTCCATGTTTCTCAGACATGTTTTAAAAGCTGTAGTGAGGGCTGTTATACTGAAGGTCCTGGGTTTTCTGTGACTTAACCTGACCCTGTCATGGGAACAGAATTCACTCCCTGTTTAAGTTGGAAGGTGAATTACCAGGAGATCTTGGAAGCACAAAAGGCCACCAAAAATCAATTTATATTTTTTCTCAGTGACCTTGGGGAGGATTGGTTTGGCCACTTTTAAGGACAGTACCAGATTCATGTAACTTTTCTAGCTCTCTTTGATAAAGATGACTTATGTAATGGGACCAAAGCAGTTTGTACTGGAATTTAAATTTTTGATGAAAGTCAGTCCAAAATATCTCTAGTTCAGTAAGTATGAGAAAGTTACTATATTTTCTGGTATCCAAAAATCATAGGTCCAAATTATCCTTCACTATTCATGCAAGAAGCTTTATACTGATTTTTAAAAACCATTTATATTTGCATCATCAGGCCGTAGGATCAATTTCAAATGATTTAGAGGAAAAAATTAGAAGATGACAGAGTCATTCTAAAAACAGCAAGCTGATTGTCAAATGTCAGAGTTCTTAACTTATACATGTTTTAATAGTCTTTTTATAAGATCAGAACACATGTTCAACTCATCTACTTCACTCTTTTTCTTTAAAATGTTCTTTCCTAAGAGTGTTTTTGCATCAATCCAGCCTCTCTATCTTCTCAGATCCTCCTGTAATCAATCCAGAGTGGGTACGTTTGGTATGCATCTGGCCAGAATGGAAAGTGTCAGCTAGGGCCATGCCATAACCAAACCAACTGGCTCATCAAATGAGGGCACTGTGACCAAGGCCTGCTTAAGACACTTCAGGTCTACACAAAGGAATTGAAAACTTGTAGACATGTTCCTACTTCTGCTTTCTAAACTAAATTTTAATCTCCTTTATTCTTAATAAAGGCATATATATTTGTACTGTTTTCTTTTGCTTTTCTGAATAAAGGAGATGTTCATTTATAATTTTTAAAAACCCACAAAAAAAAAACTTGGGTTTTAAAATATGTAAAATTTATAGCACATGATTAATAGGAAAAACTCATATTCTTTTTATGAGGTCTTCGAAGTCTATAATAAGAAATATACTTGTAATTTTTAGATCAGGGACCTGTTGAGACTGGAGGAGCCCACCTAGGCTGCATGGAGCTGGAAAAGGGCTACCCCCACAGCCAGAGGTGAGCTAAAAAGACCCAGAAGCTGGGACTCTTCTGGCCACCAGTTGGAACCCAGAGGAGCATCCAGCAATTTGAAGCCCAGCGGGTGATCCTGTCACCACAGGGCAGTCTGTGGGACCACAAGACCCACCTTGGAATTAAACAAATACAGAAGGAGATTTTCTGTGACAGCGATCACTAACATATTCATAGTACAACTACCCTACTGGAACTCTGGCATAAAAGTTTTTGACTTGATTGGACCACCAGTTTCTGACACCCCAGAAAGAGCACACCAAAAAGATGCCGGCCAGTACCAGCGACACAGTGTCCCAACACAGGAAAAATGAGAAAATAAGCAGCAGGGAAAAGAAAAACTACAAGCAACTAAGCAAGTCCTCAGAGAAAAGACACACCACAAAAAGAAAATGACCCACCAGATTGCAACAGTGACTTGGAAGAACTTATGGGGCCTTCCAAAAACACAATTTAAAATTGCCATGATTAAAAAACTGAAAGAAGTCAAAAATGATATGGGAAAAATAATCAACGATCAGATGAATGAAATTGAGTTCCTAAAGAGGAAAGTGAAAGACATGCAGGAGATCAAAGGATTAATGGAGGAGGTAAAGAACTCTGGGAAAAGCAGTGAAAGCAGAATAAAAGAAATGGAAGAATGAATAAGTACTCTCAAATACACAGAAATAAAAAGAACCAAAACAGAAAAGGAAAGAGAAGTACTAATTAAAAAGAATGAAGAAAGACTTCGGGAACTACCTGACTCCATGAGGAAAGGAAATACAAGAGTTATAGGACTCCCAGAAGGAGAGGAGAGAGACATAGGAACAGAGAAAATATTCAAGGAAATAATTGAAGAGAACTTCCCAAATGTGAAAAAGGAGCTTAAAATAGACATACAAGAAGCAAGAAGAACACCAAACTTCCATGATGAAAGGAAAAATACAGCAAGACACATAATAGGAGAGCTCCCAAGAATCCAAGACAAGGAAAAAATAATGAAGCTGACAAGAGAGAAGAAAGATAACATACAAAGGAAAAACAATCAGGCTGACATCAGACTTCTCCGAAAAAAACACTACAGGCAAGGAGAGAGTGGAGGGACATGGTCAACAGACTCCAAGACAACAAATGCCAACCAAGAATCTTCTATCCTGCAAAGCTTTCCTTCCTCTATGAAGAAAGAATAAGGACCTTCCCACACAAAGAGAAACTCCAGAATTTCATTACAACTAAACCCCCACTCCAAAAAATACTACGGGCCTCCCTGGTGGCAAAGCAGTTAAGCGCCGGCCACCAGCGAGGGTGCCACATGGTCCGCAGACCTCTCCTGCCACCCGCTGCTCCCCTCAGCAGTGTATTTCGTCAGTCTGCTTGCTCTGCTCCTCGCTCTGGCTCTGGTGAATTCTCTCACCCTTCCGAGCTTCTGACTGTACCCAGTGCTTGTATAAATAAATAAATCTATAAAAACAAAAACAAAAACAAAAAATACTACAAGGAGTCCTAAAGCCAGAACCAAAGAGGGATGAATAACAACAAAACAAGACCAAAAAAAAATTATTAAAAAATAAATAAAACCAGAGAAAAGACAAAAAAATGGCAAATACAGACACTAACATATCAATATTAACTCTAAATGTAAATGGACTAAATTCTTCAATCAAAAGACACAGAGTCACAGGCTGGATTTAAAACAAAACCCAACCTTTTGCTTTCTCCAGGAAACACATTTAACTGCAAAAGTTAAAAATACACTGAAAGTAAAAGGATGGAAAACCATCCTACAAGCAAATGGACCAAAAAGAAGGCAGGAACAGCTATACTTACATCAGATAAAACAGATTTCAAACTCAAAAAGGTAAAAAGAGACCCCAAGTGTCACTACATTATGATCAAGGGGACAACACTTCAAGAAGAAATAACACTCATTAACATGTACTCACCAAATGAAGGAGCACCAAAATATATAAGACAACTATTATCATCTCTGAAAACAGACATCAGAGAAAAAAAATATGTAGTAGGAGACTTTAACACACCACTATTAACAATGGATAGATCAATGAGACAAAAAAATAATAAGGACACTAAAGCTCTAAATAAGCTCATGGGCTTAACAGACATCTATAGAACACTAAACCCCCAAAAATCTGAGAACATAGTTTTCTCAAGCGCACATGGATCATTCTCCGGGATCGATCACATACTGGGACACAAAACAAACATCAACAGATACACCAAGACTGAAATCATACCAACCATCTTCTCTGACCATGAAGGCATCAAACTAGAAATAAATCTTAAAAAGAAGGCAAGGAACCCTCCTACCTCACGGAGATTGAAACCCACACTACTGGAAGACCACTGGACTAATGAGGAATCAAAGAAGAAATTAAAAAATACATTGAGTTGAATAACAAGGAGGACACCAATTTTCTAAATGTATGGGACACAGCAAAATCAGTAATAAGAGGAAAATATATAGCAATATAGGCTCACATCAAGAAACAAGAAAGAGGGTCTCCCTGGTGGCACAGGCAGTTGAGCGCAGCACTGTGAAGCTGTCTGCAGCCTCTGCAGTACCGGTTCAATCCCCGCAGGCCTTGGAGCAACCCACATGGTGAGCAGACATCTCTTGTCTTGCCCACTGCTCCCCTCAGCAGTGTATTTCATCGGTCTACCTATTGTGTTCCCAGCTCTGTCTCTGGTGAATCCTCTCACCCTCCCATGCATCTGGCCTGTATCCTGGCTCTTGTATAAATAAAAAATAAATCTTTAAAAAAAAAACAAGAAACAAGAAAGAACTCAAAGTAACAACCTAATCTCACATCTCAAAGAACTAGAAAAAGTACAACAGAAAGCCCTAAAACCAGTAGAAGAAAATAAATAATAAATATCAAAGCAGAAATAAATGAAATTGAAACTAAAAAAAAATCCAAAAGATCAATGAAACCAAAAGTTGGTTCTTCAAAAAACTAAATAAAATAGACAACCCCTTAGCCGGGCTCACAAAGGAAAAACAGGAGAAAGCACAAATAAATAGGATCACAAATGAAAGAGGAGAAATCACCACAGACACAGCAGAAATCAAAAGAATAATCAGAAACTACTATGAACAGTTATGTGCAAACAAGCCCAACAATCTAGAAGAGATGGACAAATTCCTACAACTCTACAATCACCCAAAGCTAGATAAAGAAGAAATAGAACACCTAAACAGACCACTTACAAGCAGTGAAATTGAAACGGTAATCAAAAACCTCCCCAAAAACAAAAGCCCAGGACCTGATGGATTTATAAATGAATTCTACCAAACATTCAGAAACAAATTAGTACCTATCTTTCACAAACTCTTTCAAAAAATTGAGAAGGAAGGGATAATACCAAACACGTTCTATGAAGCCAACATATAAAATAAAATAATTAAAAAAAAGAAATCTACTTGTAACTGTCATTCCTTGTGTTATTTTATTTTCTATTACTCACATTTATATTACACATTGTTCTTTATCTATAAATGTTTATGTAGGATTTTAAAATACTATATTTATGTGTATTATTACTAAATTACTAAAGCCATAAATAATCCTACATATTTTGAGTTATTTAATAACTCATTGAATAACTAATTTAATATTATTTATCCTGAATCATTAGGTATAATAACTTAATAGCATAATATATTCACTCTTCAAGGACAGAATTCGACTTTTAGTGGTGGACAAAAAGTCCACATTGACTTTAATGATGCACATCTTAAATTTATATAATATTATAGTGCAATGCTACTTCAATTAAAAAATGAGAAAAAGATTAAAAATGATCAAAAGATGATTTGCAAACTTATATTTCCCAAGAGGAACTGATGTCACTTTCAATTCTATCAATTGAAAATAAAATTGTTAAAAGTATAACTTTAAAAAAAGGCCAGCTGTGACTAATCAGTCTCAGTAATGACATGCAACTGTCATTACTGCAGGAAAACAGGGAATGGTGTGGAGAGTGTAGGCAGAAGGGCTTGATGACAACACCATACTCCAAAATGCCATGACATTAAAAATAAGGTAGACTAGAGAAACCATGAAACCAAATAAGGGCTCTAGGGATGTCCTGGAATAAGCTGCTTCCAGCTTAAATGCTGAGGATTCCTTAATACCAGACTATGGGGAGATATACAAATATACAGGAAGGGAATAGATGAGAAGAATGTAAGATCCGAAATAAAGTACATTTAAGGTTGTGATTATCTAAAGTTCTGTTTTTCTCTTCCCTGAAATGTAATAGTAGTTCTTCCTTTGCCAAGCATTTCTCAAAAGCACCAAATTCTTCATCATCCATATAAAATGTATAGACATTAGTCCAAGGGTATAGGTCAGAATTAGCTGCATTCTTTTCCTTTTAATTCTCTATAAGAAGTCATGACAGCATTATCTGTGCTATTTTAAATTAATTAATGAGTGACAAGATTGACTATAGTATGATATAACATATTGGCACTTATTTCGGTTTCTTTCTTGAATCCAGCATTTCCTTCTGCTTAGAGGCCACTGTTCTAATCTCACTACCTATCCTAAATCATACAAATTCAAATCGTATGTGTGTGTGCTTTTCTCCTTCTATCTTTGTGTAGAGTAGGTCTTTGCACCAGTGATATGAAAAATGATGTTTTTCTATACATAAAAGGGTGACCAAAGGCCCATTTATTATACAACAGTGGCCTGATTATCCCTAAAATACTTAAAAGCTATTGAAAGGGTTCAGTTATAAAGCATATCAAAAAATTTTGAGGCTCACAAAATTGACATGATTTTTTTGCATGCACGTGTTAGATTTGGTGTTTAAATTATGCAGCCATGCTTTGATCCTGCTGTGGGAATTCTCCCCTGAGACTATCTACTTACTGGCCTTTGCTGTTTATTGGACGTTGGATCTCTCACATAAATAGTTCGGTCAGTATTACGTACTGGTTGAGGCTTCAAATCTATTCCATCGTCATTCAGATTGTCTTTGCTTTTTGATTTTATACATCCCATAGTTCCTGTTGAAATATAAAAGCAATGACATTATTTTACCATTATGAAACTGACTTCAAGACACCAAAATCTCTCCTTGAAAGGAGAGTAAAAAAGAATATACTTCTTTCCTTATCATAAATAGTTTAACAATCTTAAATGTGGATACTGTTCACAAATTGGTTTGCTCGATGATTCATTTGTTCACATTCATTCAGCAACTACTAGTTCCCTTCAGGGAACTATTGCTATCTCTTCCCTCCAGGAAACTAGCTCAAAGAGATACCTTCAAAGAACTAGTCCTATAATGCTAAGCCTTTTAGCCAAGCAAGGGATGGTGAGGAGTTGGGCTGGAGGGGAAACACACCTTGGATACACGCTGAGGAGTTCATGTTTTTAACCTTGAAGACAAATAACATTATGTACAAAGTGAAATGAGGGGGACTGAGGCATTGAAGGCAGGCAGGATTAGAAGCTACAATGCTCAGACCTGGCGCCAATCGGATGTGACTTGGGGCCTGAGGAAATGGTGGTCGTTCCCCAAGACTGAAATGAGAGGAGAAAGGTTGAGGGAAGAGATCCAGTGACATCATTTGAGTGTAGGAATATCGAAATGATCAAAAGCAATGGGCTTCCCAAGAAGCTAAGTGAGTGTGGAACCCAGAGAGAAGGCAAAGCTAGAGGCCAGTGACTGCATCAGCAGTCATGACTGTGGATGTGAGGCCTTCTCTTCAGAGGAACCATGGCAAGAAGTGGGTCAGGGCTTGACCAGGGCAGAATGACACAACCATGCTTCTGTTAAAAGTAGAGAAAACAGGCCCAAAATGGAGTACTTCATGCCTGACTCCCACCCAGACTTACTACCTATTACAGTTTCAGCCTCTCCTTAAAGTGTCCTCTAAACTAATCAGTGTGGAGTTTCCCCCTCAGCACTAGTAAGATAATCCTCATGAGAGGCTCCCCCTGTCTTCCCCCAAGGGAAGGTGGCTTTGCTGGAAATATCTGCTTTTGCTAACAACTTTGTCCCACCCTCCATTTTTTTGTAACTCCTTACAGTATCTAGATGAGATGCTGTCCTATTCATGAGTTGTTTAAAGTCAATTAGATCTCTGAGTTTGTGAATTTTTCCTTCTGAATGCTAAACTCTTTTAGTCCTTTATTCAATTAATACTAAGATGTGTAGAGCACACACAAAACACAAAACATGGGGACTAAAAAGATGATTTTCATAAGTGGAATCATGTGAATCTTGCCTTAATGGAATAGCCCTATAGTCGAAAATATAAGTTAAAAACAAAATAAAATCCACTATAAGCTTGACTGGAAGGTCCTATGGGGCTGGCATTGAAGCTGTGTGTGCTGCTACCATGATTATAGCCGCTGCTTCTGCTTTTCACCCTGATAACACTTGAACCATCACAGGTTCTTGTCCCATGATGCCACAAAAGGGAATTTGTAGACAAACCTTCATATAAATTAAAAAAAAGGGAAAAGGAAAAACTCCCAGGCAGCAATGCCAAGGAGGGGCAAGGATGCTGCATGGGCCCATGTCTAGGGGATATTTAAACCTTTTTCCTCTGTTCTAAAATCTTGTCATCCTCTTTGGACTGGCTCTCTCAGTGGCTGTGCTTCTCTGGACCCCTGTGTACAGCTTTACAGCTCTGATCACTGCTACTGTCCACGGGCACTTAAAATTTACTATCCTTATTAACCTTAAAATTTATTGTTCTCAGTAGATCTCCTGGATTTCCCTGCTCTTATCTCTGAAGCCTCTTTAACTCTCCCGAGATCCCTGCCTGCACTGTTCCTGAAGCTGCCTACTTAACCCTAATTGCCCTAGTGTGAGAGGGTGGTCCTCAGGGAAAGGGGAGTTTCCAGGTTCCCTGCCCCCCCAAAGGAGGGTGGAGCTGAGCAGGGAGGAGAAGAAGCTTGAGAGGAGACTGAAGTAGGAAGGAAGCAGGATGGAGAACAGGGAGGAAACCTGGAGAAGGCACATGGAGCAGAGAGTGTATGAAGAAATGCAGGCTTGCCTTTTGGTCCTGAACTGGGTGACACTGATGTGAGTGAAAGACCTGTGGGGAAGTTAACAATGGCAGCTTTTATCTTGGTTTTGATTTTGCTCTTTTTCTCCCAGACTTGTCTGGCTGTTTCTGACCCTTTTCTCTGGGTCCCTGCTGGAAGGTGCTTTAGACTTGTGGCAGGCTTTTGGGCCTTGCTCTGGGCCAATCCTGTTTGGGTGGACTTTTACCCATGAGGGGATGTATAATTTGGGTGCTTGATTTGAAAGCTATATTCTTTATCTTTTCTGTATTACACGCTAATTGTATTAAAATTCCTTTCCATTAAAGGTCTATATGTTTTGTCTTGATGTAGCTGATGGCAGAACCTATTTAGAGCAAGCAGGTTTGGAGGTTCTGGGGTGCTCTCTCACTGCCCTGTAACATTAGGGCTCAGCATTCCCAAACCTGAACAAACACCAGATCTGTTCTGTCAACAGAACAGATTCCCTAGACACAACCTGTTAGGGGGAAGTGATGTCCTGAGTTAATCCCATACAGGATTAACTTTGTGGACTCCACCCCCACTCCAGACTAAAGCCATCAAGACTCTGGGAAAGACAAATCCCATCACCACACCAAGGGAGGGTGGCTGGGACCTGAGGGTGGAGTTGGGCAGCCAGGTTGGATATAAAAAACCAAACACGTGGGCCTTGGGCTCTCTCTGGCTTGCGATCGCTCGCCTCCTGGCTTCACCGCTCCTGGCTGGTGGCCAGCTCTCAGAGCGCCATTTTGGGATTCCTAATCGGTGGATCGGGTAGGACTCATTTAAAACTTTGTCTCCCACTTTTCTCCGAGAGCTGTACATTTCCTCATTTCCCCTTCCCTTTGTAAATAAACCTTTTATTAACCTTTCACGTGTGCCTGCAGTAGAGCATTGATAAGTCCTTTTAAGTGCGCGGTTGAGGACCCACAGTCAGGCACCCCGTTTTGTATCGGGATTGCTCTACAACAAACCTAGGAGATTGTCCTGGGTCAGCAGAAGCTGGATATGTCTAGGATAAGTCCAGGTTATCTTTAATTCTGAAGCACTGCCATTTGGGGACCTCTGCCGAGAACTTGGGACTTACAGTATGAGGAGAAGGGGTGTAGAAAAGGGGAAGGGGTGTAGGAAATCTCAAGAGCAGACTTGTCTCCTAACTGCCACCCCCACTACACTGTTGCCACAGCTTATCTCTACACGGTGTCCTGAATTTCCAGTAGTTCTGCAAGTTTTGACTTGTTTATCATTTGTTAGTTGAGGTATGATGCTTCTATAGGACAGTCACACTTCTTTCTGAAACTAGTGAGCTGTAGTTCCCAAAATAAAGGGGAAGCATGTACTTCTTTGATTCAAAACAGCACTTTTTTTTTTTCATATGCTAAACTTTCTGTGATGGAGATGGATTTAAAGTTGATCCTCAAAGAAGAAAGTTTTAGAGTTGATCTGTAAACAAACAGGTTCTTTTATCATCAGTCCCACCCACCTCTCAATCCCATCCCCCCCAAAAGCTGTGTTTAACTGGATCAGTCTTTCAAATAGTGATTTAGGGGCCTCCCTGGTGGCCTAGGGATTAAATCTCAGCATTATCACTTAGATGGACTGAATTCCATCCCTGTACAGGGAGCTGACCCAAATATGGTGCAGGAGACCTCTCCTCTCTAGCCCCCTGCCCTCCTTAGCAGTGTATTTAAGTAAATCCGCCCGTTCTGCTCCCCACTCTGTCTCTGGTGAATCCTCTCACTCCCTGCACCTCTAGACTATACCCCAATTCTTCTACATACCAAAAAATAATAAATAAATAAATAGATAGATAGATAGATAGATAGATAGATAGATAGATAGATAAGTAAGTAAGTGCTTTAGAAATGAGGGATGAGAGACTAAATACTGGAAAAGACCACCCAGTGAGGAGGATCCCAGAGCAAGGGGATGAGCCTAGCAGGTCAGCCCAACCCCCAGTCCTCTCTGGAGGGAAACCAGGCTGGCCAGGTAAAGGCTAGTGAGACTGGAGCTCTCTCTCTCTCTCTCTCTTTCCCTCTTCCTCCTTCACCCCTCCTCCCCCACAGACAGGTCTTCACTAATCACCCTTCTGAAAAATTCACCCCTCTGCCCACTTATCACCTTCATGCTCTTATTTCTCTTACTACACCTATATTCCATTACCTATTGATTTCTGTATGGCTAGCTACCCAACAGCATCATCTGATGGGTGCAAGGTCTAGCCTGGTTCTTCACTACAGTATTCCCAGCTCCCCAAACAGTGCCTGCTCAGCGTAGGTGCTCAAGGAGTATTTACTGAAACGAAGAATGAATGGGCCATGCAGCTCTGGCTGTAACAAGTGCCCATCTTGTTAAAAATGAGTAAGAAGGACAGGAAGGGCATTCCTGGTGATGCAGGGATTAAAGACAGTGCTATCAAGCAATTGGCAGCCACTGCAGCACGAGTTCGAGCCCCACCAGCCAGTGAGCAACCCATGGCACAGCAGACCCCTCCTGTCTTGCCCACTGCTCCCCTCAGCAGTGTATTTCAGTAGATCCGCCTGTTCTGCTCCCCATTCTCTCTGGTGAATCCTCTCACACCCCAGACCTCTGGTCTGTACTCCAGTTCTTATATGCATAAATAAAATAAATCTTTAAAAAAATGAAGGAAAGGAAGTGAAATCCATCTCAGTGACTGTTTTAAAAGACACAGAGAGACCTGCTGAACAACTTCTAGTTTATAGGAAATGCAGGGAATAGAGGAACAAAATGATCAGACAAATATCCATAACTTCATTAAAGACAACTAGCCTGGGTATTTCAAAAAGATCAGGGGGTGTGGCATTGGTCTTCCAAAAGGAGAGAGAACAGAGGGCAAGTGGGGAGGGAGGCCTGGAGATAGAGACTTATCCTGGATGGAGAGTGGGGAAGATGGAAATTTGAGGAGGACATGTAGCTAGGATCATTGGGAAAACCTAAATATGTTTGCACAACATATTAAGGAGTG